TCCTTGTAATATCAGAATTTGCTTGTTATTGCTAACTCGGACATAATATTTAATTAATATTTATATATTCTTTTTTATATATAAGTTTTAATATTTTACATACATATATAAAATTTTTTAATATATATATATATTAATATTAAGTTATATGCTCATATGAAATAAATTAAATTTTACATTCAAGTATTTTTATTTATAATATAAAAAAGCGTATAGAAGTATATCAAAATGTATCTTAAAAAGTATCTAAAAACAGATACAGATACCTCTAAAATAATATCTAGATACAGATACTTTAATCAAAAATCTATCTAGATACAGATACGACATTTTTATATCTAGATACTTTAACAACTCTGCTATCCACCATAAATAATTTTACCATCTTAATAAAATTTGCCCCATTGTCAGTTGTTATGTCATCAAGACAACAGAAGATAGAAAAAGCATTAAAAGAACAAACAATATCAGTAAAACTAAATAAAAAAAATAATAATCGTTGCTTGTACTGAGTTGGTAACTTTTAATGGCAGACCATTCAAATTAATCGATGATAGAGGTTTTAAAAAAATTCCATATATTAGAAGGCATGGATTAAAACTAATTCTCAAAATCTTCAGTCTAATGTTGCAGAATTAGCCTTAAGTATTCGGCAAAATATAATCAAAAAATAAATGGTAAGTTATTATCTCTAAATTGACTATGTTACGTATAGACATGTCCATTATTGGTATTAATCTTCAAAATATTCAATAAACAAGAATTGTTCTGAGAACACTAGCAATGAAAGAAATTTTTGAACGACCCACTGCAGAAAATTTAAAACTCTTTTTAATAAATGTATTAAATGATTATTAAATCAAAACATCACAAATATGTTCTATAACAACTGACAATGGGGCAAATTATATTAAGATGGTAAAATTATTTATGGAGGATAGTGATGATGACAATCAAATGTCTGAAAATGATGAAGAAGAACAAATACAAATTGTATGATATCATACTGACAGTGCCAGCTACCCAAGTTAGTGTGGAAAGATGTTTTTCATAAATTAAATTTATACTATCTCCTCATAGATGTATTTTGAATGAGACGAATCTTAAAAATATATGTGCGGATTAATAAAAAATTTTTAAGTATATAAAGTTAAATATTGTTTTAAAATAAATCATTGATATTTATTTGTTACATTTACAAATTAATATTGAATATAAGTGTTTAAACCGGTTTTTAGGGCTTCGAACCGAACCTATATTTTTATTTTCTACGAAGTGAATCTGAACCGATATTTGTTTCGGTTTGAATCCCTGGTTATAATATATGAAAACTCTCGTAAAAATTCTAGAAAAATGGGGTCGGGTTGTAACTCGTGTTGATTTGTCCCAGAATTCCCGATATATATAATTTTTTTTTAATAATTAAAATCTGATTTTTTGGAATTTTGATTTTAATTTATATATATGCAAGCTTTTTGAATTTTCGTTAATAATATAATTATCTTTAAATTGTTTATTTTATAATAATAGTGTTTGTTAATTGTTTTATATATTTTATTTAATAATAGAAATTTTTTACCATAATTAATTGAATATCTTTTCTTATATAAAGATATACGGGCCATTCTAAGTCAAATCGATCACGATTCGGCCGACCCCTTTTAAAATTGTTAAAAATTTCTGGAATTATTTAGATAGGTAAGAGAGTGAGAAAGCCGTTTATTTTAGCTCTCCAGCACACCTGGTTCTCGAGATATAGGGGCTCAAAGGTACAAAAAAGAGCCACTTTGGAATCTGTAAAATTTTTAAAATGCTTATATCTCAAAAACTATTTAAAGTAAAAAATATTATAATATATCATTTTGTAGGTAAAGAAATTCTCTAATGGGCTAACAAAGAATAATAAATATTGGCGTCATTATAGGCTTTTAACATCCGGTTTGCCTAAATTGCTTTACCTGTATTTTTAAGCAAAATAGTGAGTTTGTTTTCGAATTATTTTTATTGTTTTTTATTTAGACACCTTTGCTAAATATATATACAATATTAAAACCTTGGCGACGCTATCGACTCCAAAAATTGACAAAAAAATAGATGGCGCTTTATGAAATTACGGATTATGGTTAAAATTTTGCTGCTAACTTATCAATAACCAGATATTTTCACTTTTTATATTAAAAAATTTTGATTTTCTATTAAATATACTAATTAACTGAAAAGCAGAGTGGGCATATGCCCATTAGACACTTAATAATGTAACAAATTTCCAATAATAAATATCTTTCATATAATTTTTTTAATTTTTAAGGTATCTACAATTTCATCGAATTTTTCATCATTTGATGAAGAAAGATAATGGTATAATTTCAGTCGTTAAAACTTTTTTTTTACTTTAGATATTTTTTTCTTCGAATATTTCTTTTCACATAAGCGTTTTCTTTTAATGAGAGATTCCCCATTTGATTGTAGGGATATATTAATGTTATCAATAGCTTCTTGATTAATTATATGAAGGGGAGAATCAATATCTACATTGTCATTTGAAGTATAAGGAATGTTTAATATTTTTTGTCGCTATGAAGAGCATATTAACATACCTAAATTGAATGGTAAATTTTTTTGGGTCATCCAGGGTAGAATCTTTCTTAGATTCTCGCGATAATAATCATGTCTCTGTAGATTAAATGGGTTGCAACGTTTTAATATTTGGTACGTCCATCTGTGATATAGAATAAAATTTTAATGATCTACACCTAGAATACATGTTTTTGCACTCTCCAAATCCAGATCATTATTGGTAGACAGACGATAAAATTAATCTGAACGGACAGGTTAAAATTATTTCTCAGAAGAGAGATCGTTTTAAACAATTTATTTTGTAAAATATAATCTAATATATGCCTAATATTTTTACTGCAGCTGTTATATATTATCGAGCTAATAAGTCATTCGCTCGCTATAGTAGCAAAGTAGAGATCTAAAAAATGTAAAACATTTTAATGATAGTGGGAGGGGGGGGGAGGGCAGAACTGGAAAATTTTATCATAATTCTTATAAACGTATCAATATTTCCATTTTCCTTAAGAATAATATTTTTCAACCATTAGCGCCATCTACTCTTTTCTTCAATTTTTAGTAAAATGTATATTATGGAAAAGTCGATAGCATCGCCAAGGTTTTGACATCGTATATATATTTATAAAAGGTGTCTAAATAAAAAGCAAAAAAAAAATTCGAAAACAAACTCACCATTTTGCTTAAAAATACAGGTAAAGCAATTTAAGTAAACTGGATGTTAAAAGTCTATAATGGCGCCAATATTTATTATTCTTTGTTAGCCCATTAGAGAATTCCTTTACCTACAAAATGATATATTATAATTTTTTTTACTATAAATAGTTTTTGAGATATAAGCATTTTAAAAATTTTACAGATTCCAAAGTGGCTCTTTTTTGTACCTTTGAGCCCCTATATCTCAAGAACCAGGTGTGCTAGAGAGCTAAAATAAACGGCTTTCTCATTTTTTTTACCTACCAGAAATTTTTAACAATTTTAAAAGGAGTCGGCCGAAAAAGCGCCTTTTTTGATCGATTTGACATGGAATGGCCCATACATTATTTATAAAAAATCAATCATTTTACTTTAAATTTATTTTACATAAATCTAATAAAAGTTTGTTTAATTCGATTTTTATATCCCTTCATTTTTTAATGTAGATTAAAAAAATGAATATAAATTAAAATATTAATTTTAAATCGAAATTAGTTCATAGGTGCCGTAGTGGGTTAGGGTATTAACGTATAGTAGTGTTGCTAAATAGTTCAATTTGAGCCGATTTTTAAAAACAGCGAACTCAATATTTTAGCCAGAAAATATTTCCTAACTCCCGAGATTTCGTTGATAGATGTCCATACCTATGCCATCTATAAGCAAAATCTTCACGCTTGGTAATATTTTAATGAATTAGCCATTTTAAAAAATCGGCTCAGATCGAGCCGTTTAACAACACTAGCTCATAATGATTCAAATCCCGTTAATATCATTTTTCTTAAAATTTGTAAACATGATAGTTTTGCTTTTTTAAAATCTAAATTAAACTAGGTATAATATCTAAAAACCAATCTGAATTTTATATCTATTATTATAATCAATAATTCAAAATCATTGATATTATATTTTAGCATATACATGGAGTGGAATTATATGTGATAAAAATACTTGCCCAAAAGTGTCAGCTGGATATAGACATGGTTTAGAAAGTAAATATTCTTCAATCAATAATCACATGAGTGTTATAAAATTAAAGGAAAAATAACATTGCCACCATGGCAGTATATTAATTATTACTTGTAATAATTGGAATTAGTTTAATAATATTGAGAGTGGAATATTTATTATGGAGCCATGAAAACCTTGTCAATTAAATGAGATAGGTCCATCATAGTAAATTTATTCTTATTATAACTTATGAAGGGCAAATATTGTTGCCACCATCTATAGAATTAATAAGATTGAATGTTTACAATCCAAATCACAATGTCATTCAAATCTGACTAAATTTCCCAAGATAATAAGCATGTTGAAATTGAAAATGTAATTTTTCAAAAACCGGTTATGGTTCTGAACTGTTTTAATATATATTATTCTTAACACGGGGAATGTTGCAATAATTGCATCTTCATCTTATTAAATATGTTATGTTATGATCATCAAAATTAATAACTTTTTAGCTTTAAAATTTTTTAATCTTATCTTTTTTTTACCATTGATATATTTAAAAAATAATAAATGTCATATATGATTTTTAATATATTATATAACTTGCGTAATAAATTGGAATGGTTGAAATTATATTTGATTTTATTATTTTGTTGGTTTCAGATGAAATAGCTCGCACTAATGATAAATTTGATTTTAAAATGATGGTTTCAATAAATCATTGTGCCCCTCAAAGGGCTTAAAAAGGGAAATTTAAAACTTAAATTATATTTTAAAAAAACCTCATATGCAATGGTCATAGCTTGATTATGCGAATATAAATCTTCCCACCATAATTTTAACCTTCCGATTTTTTCGGGATCAAAATAATTATTTAAAGGAGTATCCAGCACAAAATCGTGAGTCTTTAGGATAGGAGTTAAAAGCTGGACCAATAACTTCAGGGAAAGTGGATCGATACTTAAAAGCTGTTCGGAATTATGCAATATATTAAGGGAGCTTATTTTGATTTTTTTTTAAAATAAATGGTATAAAATATCAAAAAGGCGCTGATTTAGATGTGTGCAAGAATATAAATGGCCTGAAAAAGAAAATTTTGTTTAACTTTAAATCAGTCTATGTGAAAATCAAAGTGCCAACACTCAAAAATGCAGGAAAAAGGTTGTGTGATGAAAAACAAGATTGGAATTATGAAATGTTTGTTTTTTCCATTTATTAATTTATTTCTTTATATATTTTATCCTGAATCCCTATAAATTGTAATTATATCAAATAATGATGTAGGCTTGATTTTGATCAGTTATTTTAATAAAATAAATATTGGAAATGTAATATAATTATCTGAAACTATTTAATATTGTATGAACTCCTTAAATACTTAATTAGAAGGCTGAAACATATATAAAGCGGGAGGTGGCTAATGTTTTTAAATTATAATTTTACCTGTAAAGCTTAAAGGCTTTGAATTTAGAGGGTATCAAAAGTTCCTTCTGTTGGAAATGAGTGCTAAATTCCACGATTAGGAGGCCAAGGAAGTGGCATATCTTCATAAGAGGATCCAAGGCAGTTTGCCAGGGTTGAAGATTAATTTGGATGATTTTGTTTTTGATAGAGGCTAGATTAAATTCCAAAAAAGTGCTTAACGTCAGCTAATGAGAATGAGGGTTAACAAAATTTAAAACATGAATGAAATATAAACATAATATCTAGCTAATAATTTTGACGTTCGTTTAACAAGATATACCAATAGTTTTTCTATTTAATTAAGGCTGATGTATTAGCTCAACTTATAAACTAAATACATAGAGGTCTCAACCACATCCCAGACGTTGACATAGAAGAAATGCTAAAAATCCCTTTAGAAGAGAATATATATCCTGAAATATGTCTTTACTTGGGAAATATAAGAGCGTATTTAAAAATGAGCGACATAGTAATATAAGAAAGAAGCAAGTGTAATAATTAACTGGCATGAAGTGTTAGGTTTAGATGATAATGATTTAGTAAATTTTCTATTTTATTTTAAACAAACACAATGAATGGATCTAGAAATGAACCCCTTTCCGAGAATATATAAATTTGGATCCTTCCTAAGTAAATGGCATGAAATATTGTTTTACTTTCACAAGTACTAATAATTCAGGAAACAAGGTGCCGTTCACTAACAAGGCACAAATATCTATTGCCACAGCAAATTCTCCGACGAGAATTGTGAAGGCGTCTTGAAACTTTTTTAACAAGCAGGCCAAATCGTTTGATTGGGTAGAAGAGTTTTCAATCTAAGATATAAGAGTGGAAAATGAAGTTAAGAAGGGTTATTGTTAAGGTTATCTTGTTAAATAAATGTTTTTATGATAATAAAAAAAAAGTTACAAGACAACACATAATTTTAAACTGATTTAAAAAGGGTATTCTGAATTAAAATGCTTGTATTATATACCATTATTTGAGACAAAGTTTTATTAAAAAGATTTTTCTGCATTGAGAGGTATGATGGAACCAAAACTTTGTAAAGAGGATAATATAATGCATCCAAAAATTTCAGTGTGTCATGGATATTGGGTATTGCGTCTACCTCTAAAAAAAATCATAGATGTAATTGTACATGTTTGATGATAGTTATAGATTGGTTTGGTTTCAACGATATTTATATTATTAGCCTCTTTTGCATAATATGATATTTAAATAAGAGAGGGTTGATAGATAATTTAACTTAACTCTATGATATACGGAAAAATCAATTAAAAAAGGATTCAAAGTACAAAAAAACAATTTTTTTCTTAACAATGGAAAAACAATATATATTTTTTTAACAAATTAGTGGATAATTCCACGACAAATTGACCAGTAATTCAGCCGACAATCTCAAAAATGAATGAAACTTTGCATGTTAGTTATTTATGCTTTAAATTAATAAAATAAAAATCTTAGAGCGCTAGCTCAACTAAATCCAAAGATATATGCCATCAAAGTCGAAAATCGCGCTATGCGTGATTTCATTAAATTGTTTTTTTTTAAAAAAAATACTTAAGATAGAGTTATAAATTATATATCATTTTATTTTAAAATTTTACATTGGAAAATATGGAAAAAATCAAAACAATTAATGTTTTAAAATTTATAGTAAAATTATAAAAATTAACATTTAGGAAGGGACTTTTTTGGGGTTGATATTCTCTAAAAATGTTTATTACCTTATATTAAACTATTTAATAAAAAAAATCTTTATAGCCATTTTTAATATTTATAACTAAAAAAAGATAATATAGATGGCGTTATACTTAAAAATCAATATAATATAATATATTTAATAAAATATATATTGTATTAATATTAAAAAAATCGATTGAGTAAATAAGATGTCCTCGGGCAATATGTAAGCACGCTTATACCATATAATTATTTAGATGCTATATTTTAAAATAAATATATTTAAAAATTTTATATACAAACTATTATATAAAAAATATCTCTTGTTTTATTCTTATTCCATTTTCCGCCAATTTATAGGCTTTTTGAGGCATAATTTGTAGGTAAATCCTGTATCTGTAATGGGATCTAATATCGTTATTATTTGATTAATGGGCAACATTATCTTTTCCACAATTGTGGGTAATAAAAGGATGGTGATCGTCCATGGGGATCAAAAAAAAAATACATATCACCTCAGTAATTTCATTCTTCTTTAATATTGTGGCTAACCACCAGAAATTGTCATAAACATATGTTATGAATCTTTTGATATCAACAAAAGACAAATTATTGGCATTTGAGATATTGTTAATTTTAAAAAGTCCTCTTCTTAAATCAAAGGAAATACAGCATGTATTTCCAGAGTTCCTGGAATGGTGCAAGCTTAATTGATTGTTTTTCGAAGTTAAGCCTTTTCTAAATTGTATTAATAGTTGGTTATATATGATTTACCGATGGCATGTTTTGTTTTAACTGATAAGAATCAACTGGTGTTAAAATGTGTCCAGAACTGGTGCGCTGAAGACTTGAACGTGCTGATCTTTAATGCTCATACAAGGCCTTCGCATGGACCTTTTCCATGAGAATGGCCACCACATCTTTCTTTTACCCCAGTGACATCAAATAATAACGATAGTAGGATCTATAACAATGACAGAATATGTCTACAAATTATGGTCTTACGAATTTCTATTAATAAACGCAAAATGGAATATGATAAAAATAAGAGATATGTTTTTATAATAGTTTGTATATAAAATTTTAAAATATGTTTAATTTACAAAATAGCGTCTTAATAATAATCATATAGGTATGGACTGCTTGTTTACATATCGCCCCAGGTTATCATATTGGTTATACTCAATGAATTTTTTAGTTTTTATCCCAATACAATTCATATTTTTATTAAAAATATTATATTATGATTTTTTATTAAATAGTTTATATAAAGGTAATAAACATTTTTAGAGAATATCACACTAAAAATTCCCTTTCAACAATGTTAATTTTGTAATTTTATCGGGAATTAGAAACCACTTGGAATTTTTTAATTTATTTCGATTTTTCCCAATGTTAAATTTTAAGGGCTATAAAATGATATTAAATTTATTACTCTATCTTAAATATTTTTTTAAAAAACAAGATTTAATAAAATCACGCATTGCGCAATTTCCGACTTTGAAGGCTATATCTTTGGATCTGGTTGAGCTAGCACTGTAAAATTTTGAGTTTACTAAAATATACACCATAGAAACTATCATGCCAAGTTTCATTCATTTTAAAAATAGTCGCTGAAAATTTCGTTTTTTTGGTCGATTTGACGTGCAATGATCCTAGAGTGGCACAAAAACGGAGTTTGGATAAAAATATAGCTAATATTTATTTATATCATTAAAATTTAGAAATAATTCAAACACGATTAACCAAAGTATACAAGATAACAACTTAAATATATTTTTGAAAAATCGTGGCTTTTATTTTTTATTATATCTATTTTTAACATAATAACCCGATTATATTTACTAAATTTAGTTTTAAATAACATATTCCTTTACACATATCTATTTCTCTTCTATTATAACCTAAGTACACAATATCAGCATATGTTTATTATATTACTCGTCAAATTTGTCATAATAAAGGTATCCATGCTACGTTTAATAGGATCAAATGTTTCGAATGGTGTAGATGGAATGGTACAATCCAAAAAATTCGCAAAAGTAGGTGACATTTTACTCAAACATGATATTACAACGCGATTGGAGACTTGCACATAGCAATCAGGAAAAAGTTGCTGATTCCATGTCAACTAAATAATAGATATGTGTATAAATAAAGAAAACGCATGGTGTTATTTTAGATAAACCATAAAAAAGACGTTTCAACCTCTTGATCATGATAAAAAAAATAATATGAAATATCTTGATTAGTAAATTTTTATAAAATACTAGATAATAAATTGAACCAAGCCTTACCATCAAATATATTTGTTGTATATTTATCAAAAATTAACCTTCTAAATAAATGATTAAAAAAGATTCTATTATAAACTCGTTTAAAAGCTTGTAAAACCAAATGTAATTTTCCGGTAAAACTTTAACAGAGCAAATATTGTTTTAAATATTCAAAGAAAATTAAAAACCAATTTTGTCCAATTTTCAGAAAGGTCAATATAATATTCATTTAACGAGTTTACAAAAGCTACAATCCTGTCATCGGGTGAATTATTTTTCTTGGCGGAGTTATTGATCATCATGGATATCCACCTATTATTTATCCATATCTGCATTTTATCCAGTAATATATATTAACCAAATTAAATATAAATGCACCTGCAATTATTTCTATATTAAATTTATAAATTGAAATGTAAATCGCTACTTGGAAATATAGCTGTAACTAGTTACAAGTACCTTTTAAAAACACAGCTCTAGTAACTGTAGTTAGTTACCTTTTAAGAATGTAAAAGGTAACTAGTTAATTTTCAATCTTAACCATTATCAATAACCTGCAATGGACCAGTTAAAAACTATTAAATATTGGGAGAATTTTAAATTGCAGGAGGAATGTTATTTTTTTATTACATATTTTATAAGTTATTGAAAATGTAATCTCAAGCCAACCAATTAAATAATTTCAAAAAATGTTCTAGGAGACTAAAAAAAATTTACAGGCAAAATTTTCAAAAACCATGAGTGGTTAAGAACTTGACCATTACAGACCTCTAGTTTAGAAATTAAAGATTTTGTAGACTTTAGGCAAAATGATAACTTTTTCATTGATAAAAAATTATTAGGCCAGACTGGACAACTTGTACAAAATTATTTAATGAGCTGGGCAAAATAATTTAGCGAGCTCAAAACTTTTCCATATTGACTTAATAACACAATAAGGACATGGAAAAATAGACAGTATAAAATCTTGCAATGTATACATCTCCAATATTATATATTACAATTAAAATAGTTTTTTTTACCACAAAACATTTTTCACAATATTGAATAGCTTGGTCCCTAAGATCAATTTCACTATACATGCTTATCAAGCTATTTATATCATTTAGATCAACATCTATAAAAAAATTAAATAAACCAATATTAAACCAAATTATATTTAAGAAAAGGGTTATTAAGTGTAAGAATTAAAAAGTTCCATGTCATTTAAACCTTTTTTCATTATAACCATATTAAAAATAGTATTGGCATTAAGTAGATTTAAATAGTCTCCTTATTTTTAAAAAAAATTTAATGATTTAAATGAATAATTTTAATATTATATTTACTAAATATAAAAAAGTATTAATAATCATTTTAGAAAAACTAATTGACCAATTTATTTTTCCATTTTAATTTAGTTTGCATAAGTACATGTATAAATAGAATTATTCATTATAAATATAATGAATATATCATTATAATCTAAAATTATATAATGTTTGAAAAATAATGGTTGTGTATAATATTCTTTGCTTCATAAAAAAATTCACCATTAAAAAAATATTAAATTCATAATTCTAAATTTTTGTCAAATTTATACTTAAAAATGTTTTAATAGAATCTAGCCATGCAAAATATGGGCAAAAACCTGATTCAGTACATTAAATTTTTAAGGATTTAAACATTTTGTCCAAGGTTTAAATCAGAAACCTGCAGGCCCGGTCCTAAGCCTGGGCCGTATTTCAAATTTTTAAAATATAAAAAATTATTTGTAAAATATCCGGGTCGAGCCGGGCCGTAAAAATTTTTTTTTAAAATACCCGGGCCATAAAATTTTTTTTTTAAAATTTATATAACATGAATTATTATATTCGTCAATTAGATATGATTATAATGATTATATATAGTTATGATTAATATAATGTTGTTGAGTGAAAGTTAACACTAGCTAACACTCATAGTATCTATTACATAATATAATTATAGTTTTCCAGCCATGGAATAAATAGGCAAAGGATAATAGGTAATAAATACATTATTATATAATATATGTTATATTAATTAAAATATCAGTTTTATTTTTTTTAATACAATTAATATAGTATATTCTCAGAATATTATTTACACAAATTTTTTATAGTATCAATTTATAATATACTAAATATCTGTTTAGAATTAAAATAAAATAAAATATGTAGGGTTGTTAAACGGCTCGTTTTGACCCGATTTTTAAAAACGACTAACACAGTATTTTATCCAGAAAAATATTACGCAAGCCTGAAAATTTTGTTCATGTATCGAAATTTCGAGGCGTCGTCAATTTTTTCTGGCAAAATATTGAGTCAGCCGTTTTTAAAAATCGGCTCAAAACGAGCTGTTTAACAACAGTAGCTAATATGCTTGCTTATTAAATGATAATATTTGCCAAAAAATATGATAAAATACCGAATAGGTGAATTTTTTGTATATACCAGGTCGAATATAATTTTAAAAAATTCCGAGCCAGCCTAAAATTTTTAAACCTGGGCTGGGCCGTAAAAAAATTTTGAAAAAAAATCCAAGCCGGGCCATGCAAATGGTACTTTTGCAGGTCTCTGGTTTAAATATTATTTATAATTTAATAACATTCAATTTCGATAATGAACATTTCAGGTGGATGGTATATCACCAATAATTAATAAATAATTAAATATGAACTTTTAATGAATGTTAAAATTTATAATATCCATAAAAAAATTATTTGAATGACTTCCATTCATACATAGATAATTTTTTTATGTTGTAACTAATTTGTTTATAACCATTATAGATCTGACTTAAAAAAAATTATGTAAACAATATAAAAAACAAAGAACATATAAGAGGGGGGGGAGAATTTAGGCATGAACCAGTATATACTAATATATACAATAAAAATCAGGTTTTTACAATTTTTTTAAATTGGCCAATCCATATTCAAATTGAAATTTATTAACTAAAAAAACTGAAAAATAATTGTTGTATAATATTATGAAAATCTTTATAAAAAATATAATAATAATATATATAAACCTTTAGTAGTGGTGTTTAATTTTTTATTCAAATTTGTGATTAAGATTGTGCTAATACAGTTTTCTAAATCTTCTTGTAAAGTTCTAAGTTTTTCCAATTTTGATTCATGTTCAGGAAAGCACGATAGAATTTGCTTTTGAAAGTGTAACAAAAAAATTTTAATAAAAAAATCTTTACAAAACTATTCTGAGTTCTTTTAACATAATCTAAAGCATTTTGAAGGGGTTCTTGGTTGTCTTGAGTTAGGGCAAATGCTATTGCCTTTTCACTCTCATAAACTAGTCCATTCCAATTTTGAGCTTCCAAAATAGCACAATTGACATCTCTTAATCTATTTCTCATTTTATCCATATCTTCGAGAGAGTTTATTAAATTGCTATTAGCATCATCTTTCTGAATGTCAAATATCATAAATTTAAATTAAAAAATAAATTAACAATATTATATCTCAGAATATTTCTGATAGAGATCATTAATTTATCCTGAAAGTCAGTCCAATCATTTAGACCTAAAAAATGGTTAGGCTCAGGGTAACCAAATCCTGCTTAATTGAAAAGAAGGTATAAAAATGAATTTAAGTGATATTAAAGCAGTCATTTATTTTTATTGCATTTATATATAAAAAATATAAATAATTAGATTGAATAATATTCATATAAATTACAATTTTTTTTGAGATTAAATAATTTATTTAATTTTATAAAATAACATATAAAAAAATTATGTAAACATTATAAAAATATACACAAAAGAACATATAAGAGGGGGGGGGCAAAAAAATTCTCATAGCAATCCAAGGAAACTTGTTGCCTATTACTTATAACATTTTAAAAGAGAATTCATGATTATTATTTTTTAATTTTATTAAAAAATTTAATCTTAAAAAATGATAGCCTAAGATCCCATTGGTGGAAATAACTATTGGGATAAAAAGATTTTTATTGTAGTTAGGATAAATAATAAATATTTTTAAACTTTATTGATTTTATAAATTTTAGATAGGGAAAGGTATAATTAAAAAAATTGAATTTCCATGGCTCTATCATAAACATATAATTAATTACTTGTTTTATAGATGTTTGATTTATGTTTAATCTATCAGCTAAAAAATTGTTTTCTAAATTTAAAGTGTTGATATCCTTCAAGATTTTAGAAATGGTATACAATAATTTGCAACAAGAATCCTCCATTAATAAATTTCTTTCCTGCTCATAATTAATGATATATATTATAAATATATTCACCTGAATTGTTTGTTGCAATTCAAAAAGTTGTGAAGATATCTGGCCCTATGAAATTTAAATATTTAATAAATTTATATTGGCTAACCTCTTTGTTAGGTTCCATTTTAAATAAATTATTAATCCATACACATGGATCAAAATTTTCTTCAGAGAAATTAATGCAATCCATATCGAATAATGTGATTTCCGTGCCTATGATCGTATGGACACTTTATCGTAAAGTTTCGTCCAATTCTGTGATTGGTCCATTAAAGTACGGGAAATACAAAAGTGTTAACAGATTTTTAATTTTAATCATAATAATGGAAATTAAAACGGTGTCAAACAATATCAAACTTCTTCTTGAGAGAAGAATTAATCCCACTATAATTCAAAGTTAGCAATCTAATTATATATAAATAATTTAGTTTTAATTTTAGAAAACAAAATTACTAATAAAAAATCCAAAAGAGGACGTGATATTTTATGTTTTAATGATTTAGAATATACCATCCATAGAGTAATAAATGCCACATCGTATTACAGGTGTAGACAAAGGAGTTGCTTAGGACGGGGTATTTTACAATCAGGTAGGTTCACAGAGATGCAGGATCATACCATAGAACAGTGTAAATCACATATTGGTAAATATTTTTATAAATAAATCACTAAATCAATTTATTTTTAGGCAATATGTTTACTCCATGTCAACCCTTAGTAACACAGAACATGCAACCTGTTAATGCCATATCAAGTTTCACAAATTAAAATTTCTATAATCAATATAATTTTAGGCAATATATGTGCCCCATCTCAACTCTCTGTAGCAAACTACTATAACTAGTTTCATCAATTATTTTATTTTTATAAACAGTTTATTTTTAGGCAATATGTTTACTCCATGTCAACCCTTAGAATTTGCTGATAAAGCATCAGCTTATATTAAATTAATATATAATTCAAATTTATTTGATAATATATAATTTTTATTGTAAATAATTTATATTTGTTTTATACATGCTAAATAAATATTAGTTGTTTATATTTTTGTATTCGATTTATACATTTGAAATAATTAACATATGTCATATACATTATAAATTTGAATAATAAAATAAGCTTCTTAATTTGCTGTAAAAATTGTATCCTAGGTTGTTCTTTTGATATTGTATAAGAGCTAAGATAAATTGTTACCATTTGAAATCTGCTAAATATTCTATATTTGAATAATAATATATATTAAATTTTACCATTTTAAACCTATTAATCTTCTTAATTTGCTATAGAAATTATATCCTAGGTTGTTCTTTTGATATTGTGTAAGAGCTAAGATAAATTGTTACCATTTGAAATCTGCTAAATATTCTATATTTGAATAATAATATATATTAAATTTTACCATTTTAAACCTATTAATCTTCTTAATTTGCTGTAGAAATTATATCCTAGGTTGTTCTTTTGATATTGTGTAAGAGCTAAGATAAATTGTTACCATTTGAAATCTGCTAAATATTCTATATTTGAATAATAATATATATTAAATTTTACCATTTTAAACCTATTAATCTTCTTAATTTGTTATAGAAATTATATCCTAGGTTGTTCTTTTGATATTGTGTAAGAGCTAGTTACCATTTGAAATCTGCTAAATATTCTATATTTGAATAATAATATATATTAAATTTTACCATTTTAAACCTATTAATCTTCTTTATTTGCTATAGAAATTATATCCTAGGTTGTATTGCTACCATTTGAAACCTGCTAAATATTCTATATTTGAATAATAATATATATTAAATTTTACCATTTTAAACCTATTAATCTTCTTAATTATAAATTATATCCTAGGTTGTATTGTTACCATTTGAAACCTGCTAAATATTCTATATTTGAATAATAATATATATTAAATTTTACCATTTTAAACCTATTAATCTTCTTAATTTGCTGTAGCAATTATATTTTGCCATTTGAAACCTGCTAAATATTCTATATTTGAATAATATATATTAAATTTTACCATTCCAAAAGAAATATTAACATTCCAAAAGAATTATTAACATTTAACGTAAGATTATGGTAAAAAATTAAATTTTACCATTTCAAAATTATTAATCTCCATTTTGAACGAATTGGACGAGTTGGACGAAAAATACGATGAAGTGTCTTACGATCAAAGGCACCCCTGCCAAAAATGTTATGTATCCAAGTCAGATATTTTGAAAAATTGATATATGAGACATTTCGCATGACAGGAATGTTTGTTTAGGCCTACACCGTGCTTCTAATCAGTGGAAGTAACAAAGAGAGTGGAAAAACACACTGCATTTATATGCAAATTTTTATAGTGCTAGTATATGTGTATAGATTCATTATGAATTTTTTTCTTTAAAGTAACCTGATGATAGCCATAAAAATTGTTATAGGATAGTCTATATGAGCGAGGTTTATACAATAACAATAATTAATATATTAATTTTTTTTAAATTTTTTTTTATGGTATATAACATTTTTATTAGTCAAATTGAACGCTAAAATAAACATATATACGTAATTTAAAAATATATATTAAAAATATCATGTAAACTATTTCTAAAATAAAATAAATATAAAAACTGTATAATAAAAAAAATAAGTATAATAAATTGTATGTTGGGTGTGAGTTGGTCAAAAAAAGGAGCCGTGGATGTCAATGCAGTTAGATCTGCATATAAATGTCTTAAAAATAATCAATGCATAAATTCGCCCATTTAGTTTAAAATACATCAAGTTATCAACTGTTATTACCTTTCAATCGTTCTATTTTCGGGCAATAATAATTTTATATTATGCTGCCACATAGCATTCTCACTTTCTTTAATATTGTAATAAATTTATATATATATAATATATTTTTCATTATATAAAGATATTGTTGAAAACTTTAACCACTGGTTTATACAAAGCTACAGCCTCTAAACAAAAAAGCTGCTCATTTGATGGATTTATCGCACCTAATTGTCGAGATTGTGAAAAATTATCTTCTCTGAATGTAACAGATTTACCTTATATAAGGTGCAAAGAATGTTGTCTAAGTGATATCAAAGAAGATTCTTCAATTAAGGTAAATTATAAAACTTGCATACCAGCAGGCCTGGACCTATCCACAGTCCAAGCAAATGGATAAGACCATAAATTTAAAAAAAAATCAGGCTTTCTTTAGAAATATTATTTTTACACAAAATATGGGAAATCATATAAAAAGCCTTTTATATTTATTTACTACATATTTTTAGTTTCCTTATAAAACATTTTACAATATAATGAAATTGTGAAAATTCCATGATAGCAGTAAAATATAAAAAATAAATGAGCTCTGGAAAATGGTATTAGTCATTATTATCTACATATTAAACCATAAAAAATTTAAATATTCTACTTTTTAATAATTATATTAATAAAAGTTTTGATTGATAGATTAGCATACATATCAGTAACTTTTTAGATATTTTTATAATTTGCTATTCAATTGTGCCAGCTAGGTAAGTTAGGATATAGAAATGTTCTGAACTATAGATTTTGTTCTCTCTTCAAATATATTTAATTTGACAAGAGAATCTAATAATTTTAATTGTACATATGGCACAATATTATTATTTTTTTGAGAATAGTGCACAGGATTTTAATAAGCTTATGTGTGAAAAGATTCAAACAGCAGATATTATTTTTTTTTTACAAGTGTGGACCATGAAACAATTTTTATCTAATCTAAACCTGATATTTGTAAATTTTTGAATTGCTCAATTTGATCTTTTGACGTCTCTGAAAAATGGCTATAAATTTGATCTTTTTTTAATGTAATAAAACTAGTGTATACTATTTGCACAATCAATTTTATATTCCCCTTTATGTTAAAATTATTCTAATATCACATGAACTTTTTAAATTTATATAAAATTAAACAAAGCTTAAAATGCTCTTAAAGATATTTGATCTTTTTTTAAAATGAAGATTTTTGAGAATGCTCAAACAGGAATTTTCATCAAATTTTACTTTGCTCAAAATTTTGGAAATTAAAATCTTTGAAGATTTTTTTATAGCTTTAAAATTTAACTATAAAATTATCCTCTAATGAATTATATAATTTGTTAATTGTGTTCAATTAACATAATTTATTGTAATGTTAATTTAAATTTGTGATCAGTTGAAATAATTTATTTTAATGTTAATTGAGTATTAATTTGAATATCTATTGAAATGTTTTATTATATATACCAGTTGATTGTTATACATATTATTATTATTATTTGATTTTTTAAAAGAAGAAATAAAATTAATTTAAAATTCAAAATTAACTTGATTATTTCAACTGATCACAAATTTAAATTAACATTACAATAAATTATGTTAATTGAACGCAATTAACATTCCCCTCTTCGACAAAGTATCAAGTTGCTGCTCGGTGAGCGCATAAGTCTATGTTTAAGTTGCGTGAGTCCATACGTTTTCGTAGTTTGATAAAATTGTTGTACGTTATCATTATCATAAGGAATAATTGATCAAATACGGAATAAAATTTTAAATTTGGAAAAAAGAATTTGGAATAAAAATTTTGGAATATGGAATGATAAATATGTAGAATTCCGCAAGAATGATAAATCAAAAAGATTATTATATAATATTTTGCGATTTGGAATAAAAATTTTGGAATATGGAATGATAAATATGTAGAATTCCGTAAGAATGATAAATCAAAAAAAGATTATTATATAATATTTCGCGTTTTTTCAAATTTTGCGTTTTATATATTTTATTTTGATAATTTAAGTTGCGTTTTAATATTTTATTTTAATAATTTAAGTTACGTTTTAATATTTTATTTTAATAATTTAAGTTATAAAATCTTTTAAATAAGAAGGTTTTTGTTTATTTCTTGATGGTCTGAAAGGTATCTTACTATTTTTACTTATGTCTACACTTCCCTCTTTACAAGAATTCTTAAGGTCACTTTCATAATATTTAAATCTATTATAACATTCCCTTTTTCGTAACTGGTCTATATGTCTCCTTACTACACCTTTATCCGTATTAACTTGGAACATGGTGTCACTCTTTGTGCGTGATGTTGCCTTTGCACCACGTGTCATCACTCTGTTTCTTGTACCAAACGAAGTCTCCTATATTAAAGGTTCGATTTCTTGGTAGCGATATGTTGACTTTATCAATTTTATCCTCCAATGATTTCAATAAGTCCCACTTTATTCTAATATCTCGGTTAAACACTCTTTTGGATGGTGTGACACCTGTAGTATCATTCGGTGTGTTTCTGTAGTTAAACAAGAATCTGTCCAGTGCAGTTTCTAAGTCAATTTTTATGTTTCTTTTCATGTGAGCTTTGAATGTTCTCACCATACGTTCAGCTTGTCCATTAGATTGCTGATGGTAGGCGAATGTTAGTACATGTTTTATTCCATAGTTACTACAAAATATCTCAAAGTCTTTGCTTGTAAAGTTGGTACCGTTATCTGTGACAATGGTTTCAGGTATGCCAAAAAGCGAAATAGTTTTATAAATTTCTTTCAACGTGAATTCAGTCGTGATGTTTTTTACATGAACTATGATTGGAAATTTACTATAGGCATCGACGATTATTTAATTTTTGTAAAAAATGGACCCGCATAGTCTACGTGAATCCTTTCAAAAGGTTTAGTCGCCAATACCCATGGATTTTGTATTTTCTTTGGATTGTCGTGAAAAATATTACAATCGTCGCAACTTGTAACTTCCAAATACCACATGCGATCTTTGGCTAAGGATTTAATTTTACCTGCTCCCATGTGACCTTCATGTAATGCCTTTAATATGTTCTTTCTTAGACTGGAATTATTATTTTGTTGCTTTTGTACAGACAATTTTTAATAATACTAAGTTCATATTCAATATTTTCATAAGTTTTGTTTTTAATAGGCACATTATTTCTTATATCATTAATAACTTGAGATAATTCAAAATCTTTGGACGTTTCATCACGTATTCGGTCAAAACTAAGAGGTATATCGCCAAAGTCATTTATAATTGCGACATCATCAATAACGTCATCATCAATTACTTGTGGTAATCTTGAGAGGCAATCAGGAACAACATTGTATTTACCAGCTTTATAACTGATGCTAAAGTCGTAACCCCCCAAAATTATATTCCACTTCTGTAATCTTAAGGACATGGTAATATTATCTTTGAGCCCTTTGGTGAAAATATGGATTAACGGCTTGTGGTCCGTTACAATAGTAAACTTAGTCCCTATCAAGTATTCTTGAAATCTCTTGATAGCAAACATAATGGCCAGAGCTTCACGCTCAATATTGGTATAATTTATCTCGGACTTTGCTAAAGTTCTCGACGCAAAAGCTATTGGGTTTTTTGCCATCTTTTTCGGTGTGAAACAAAACACCTCCTAAACCTCTTTTAGATGCATCAGTCGCAATTCCGATACGTAATTCAGGATTAAAGTACGTCAAAGCTGGAGGAAGACTAATCAACGTCTTAAGATCATCAAAACTTTTGGAGTGTTCTAAATTCCACTCCCATTTTTCCTTGTTGACAATCTTGTATAAAGGATCAGCTATTTCAGCAAAGTTGTTCAAAAATTTTCTGTAGTAGCCCGCCATACCCAGAAACGTTGACAATTCAGCAGCTGATTTTGGTTCCGGCATTCTAACGATCGCCTCGATCTTGTCATGGTTGGCGTGGATCCCATTGGCTTCGATATCGTGTCCTAAGAACCTCAGACTTTTTTGCAAAATTAGGCACTAAGCTATAAGATAATATTCTTTCAAAAACTCTTTTTATGTTGTTGAAATGAGTTTCGTCACTATTTCCCGTTATTAATAGGTCATCAATATAAAAGATGACATCTTTCATGTCACCGAAAATTTGATCCATAATCTGTTGAAAAACTGCAGAAGTCCTTAACCCAAAAGGAAGTCTAGTAAACCTGTAGTATCCCCTGTGTGTAGATATGGTTAATATGTTTCTGCAGTTTTTGTCGATGGGGATTTGTAAAAACGCGTCTTTGAAATCGATCTTGCTGAATTTCTTCCCCTCCTTGAGCTTAGCTATAAGATCGTTTATTCTTGGAAGTGGGTATCTGAAATTTTCAAGAGCAGGGGCGCAAACCCTAACGCTCCCATTTTCTTTGTAGACAGCGGTTATAGAACTTGCCCATCGAACATCCGTCACTGGCTCAATGACTCCCTCGTCTATCCATCTCATAAGTTCTTTAGTTACAGCATCTATTTTTGAATAAGGTATACGCCTTGGTGGTATTATCTTAGGTTTGGCATCATTTCGTAAATGTATCTTGACGTTAACTTTGTTGATTGGTTTGGTAGTCAGTTTAAATTCACAATCTTTTATTAATTTATTTATTCCATCTTCATAATTGATATCGATGTTTGCTATAAACTTGTTCAAAATATTACTAAAGGCATTGATCCACATTCGTCCCAATAATGCATTTTTATTAGACTTTACGATCACTGCTTGCAAGTGTTTGGCGATACCATCGTAGCTTACTTTAACTTGAGTTACGCCGATAATTTCAATTAAGTTTCCATCATAAGCTGAGAGTTGTAGAGTGGACTTTTTAAGATCTTTAATACCTATTTGTTTAGCCATTTCATGAGGTATAATCGTAAATTTAGATCCTGTATCGACTTGCATAGTAACGGTAACATCATTTACTTTTAAAGAAGTCATAAATGAATTGTCATTAAGTTTATGCTCGGTTAAATTGTTGACATTAAAATCACTATCATTATTATTTTGTATAGCGTCATTTTTATTTTCCACAATCTCTTCAATGTTCATATTGCAATTGTTGCTATTACTTTGGCTCTGATCATGATATTATTTGTTTTCTTAGATTATAGTTTTTCCATGTATTGTTTCCTCCATCACTATTATTGTTATAATTGTAGGATTCATATCGGTTACCATTTCGATCATCATATTGATTCTGATTTCTTTGGTTGTTGTAAGACCAGGAGATATTTCTCCTAAAGTTATTATTGTTTTGCCAGGCATTCTTTCTACCATAATTGTTTGAATTGATATTATCGTGCC